CACAGCCTCCCCCAGCCTCTCATCGTTCCGCAGGGGACTGTTGAGTTGACTAAGAAGTTGTCTCAGATCGTTCAGGCAATACCGAGAGGGCCGTGCTGGTCCATTCGCCCGCGCACAGCCTCCCCCAGCCTCACACCCCGTCGCAGGGGACTGTTGCTGAGTCGACTCAAAAGTCGTCTCAGCGTTTCTGAGGGCTGCTGACCGTTCTCCCCCGCGCCGCCTCTCCCATCCACATATCGCTCTGCAGGGAAGCAGCACCGCAGTCGAACCAGCCCCAGCAATACCATGCCGGTGCTTCGGAACCATAGCTAGGTGCTCCGATTCATCCACACCTTCGTTGAGTCACTTTTTGACCCTAGGGGGAAAAGGGGGCAAGGAAGCGGAGGAGCACGAGGGGGAGAGGGAAAATTAGGTGGACCGTGGTAGGAGTGTGGGGTGGGAAAGAGGGAGTCATGGAAGACGAGGAATGAGGAATGGGTGTGCAAGCTTGTGAGAGCTGGTTGACCGATGGAGGAGGAGTACCTCTTGTGCGGCACCAGAGCAAGTACCTGAGATAAGACCGTTCAAGGAACATGATCAAGCACCTGACGCTGGACGCAGCCAGCCAGTAGCTCTAGCAGTTGCATGCCGTCATGCCCTACACACCAGCCAATGCGACAGTGGGTTAGGGACCGGTGTGCTGGCACCTTCCGTTATCCCCCATTGCACCTCCTCATGTCGCACCTCCCCCTGCCGCGCCTCCCCCTGCCACACCTCCCGCTGCCACACCTCCCACATCGCTGCAGTACTATCCATGCCCAGCCCCTTTGCCATCGCCAAAGCAGGGGTGACAGGTAAGCAGCAGCAATCAGTGATGCAATGGCAATTGTCAAAGCAGCAGCAATCTTTGAAGCGGCAGCAATGGCAGGCGCTTGCCATTCATTTGAGATTTGAGACTTGGATGCGCCGCAGCAGGCTTTACAGCTGATTATAACCGACCTCACTGCAAATTAAAGGTATGCCCCTCTCCCCTTTGAAACGAGAGGCTTTGCTTCCACACCCCACAGTCCGTTTGTGCCCAACCTTGCTCCAGTCCCCCACGCTCCCCTCGATCCTTTTGAGCTATCCCATCTGCCTGGCTATCCTTTTAAGCTCCCCTCAATCTGCCTGAGTCTGATCTACGACTGCTGTGCTAGCCACCATAGCCTCTTGTGCTGGGTTTTCACCTTCTGGCCCTTCTGCCCTTTTTCCCCCAGTGCACTGGCATGTTACGTCCCAGCAGCACCTTTACAGGCCGTCGGCAGCAGGAGCAGGTAGGAGGAGCAGCAGAAGCAGCATTCGCTGAAGCAGGAAGGGGAGCAGCACCGGCGCCAGGGGCAGGGGTAAACAAGTGCTGCAGCCTCGACTTCCATGGATGGATGGGTGGGTGCTGCTTTCCCCACCACAAGGTTAAGAGGCCTCTGCTGAAGCAGGAAAAGAAGTAGCAGCAAAATCATCTCCCATGGATGGATGCGTGCTGTTGTTTCCGCACCACAAGGTGAAGAGCAAGCATAGGGAGGCAGTCGATGATAGGACGAACGCAACCAGTGCAGCTAGTGGATTTGGGGGGGAAAGAGAGTGGTGGCCGAGGAAGGGAGAGAGGGGGCCGGTAGGGAGAACGGGGACAGAGGAGGAGAGTGAGAACAGAGGAATTGAGAGTGGGAGCAGGGAAGGGGAGTGTGGACCCCGGGAAATGTTAAGTTGCATGTGCTTCCACAGGTGCTGGCCAGATTACTACTGTCATTTCAACCTTGCATTCGGCCACCGCAGAAGCCTTGCTTTGCCCTGTGTAACTGCACATGGGCTACCCAATAACCCGTAGTGGAAGAGATGGTGACACAGGGGCTGGGGTGTGGCTTCAAGCAACAGCTTCAGCAGAGGTTGTGCTGGTGGTGAGGGTGTGAGTGGTGGCAGTGGTGGCGATTGCAGCACGTGGTGTTAAGGATGCACGAGCATAGGCAGCAGCGGCGGCGGCGCCTGCTCTTGACCACTATCGAGTGTCATATTAACGAGGATGGAGAAGCAGGAGATGGCAATGCCTTAACCACCACCAGCCTCAGCAGCAGCTGTTTGAGCTGTCCGGGAGAAGTAGGGACGAAAAGGCACTGTAGCAGGGACTGTGGCAGGGGCAAGGACTGTGGCAGGGACTGTGGCAGGAGCAGGTGTGCCAGTGGTAGCAGCCCTGGGAGGCCCACCAATCCAGGTGCCATCCAGTCCAGATGCACTCGGAGTAATGCTCTCACCCCACCCACACACATGCATCAAGGTTTGGGTAACCAGCCAGAGGCACGTTGGGTTGACGAGATCGATAAAAGGAGCAAAGGAGGACGAGCGGAGGTTCAGGGACGGGAGGGACGGAGGAGGGGCTGGAGGGAGACGAAGGGGAGAGAGAGGAAGAGTAGTTGTTAGTGACTGGAGTGGAGGGGAGGAGAGGGAGGGTGGGGAGGCGGTGTGCTGTGTGTGCATGGAGAGGCTGAGGAGGTCAGTGTGAGTGTCGTAAGGCCACATGCTGTGCCGCACGTGTGCTCAAGAAGTCAGGGACAGGCGCGGCAAGGGCCTTCGGGGAAACAGTAAAATTGGAAACTCTAGGGAGAGTAATTCAATGCAAAGCGGATCCACGAGTTGAATCGTAGAAACAATGATTTGAGGTTATTTTGTCCGTGTAAATACGGTATGTGAGCATCTACATTTTTAACAAGATCAATATGTCAAGCATAACTTATCCGCGTGGAGGATAAAACTGAGAGTAGTTGGTGATGAGAGTAACACACACATTAGGAAGGCGCTCCATGAGAAAATTTGCTGTCGTCCTGTCCTTTACGCCAACCTTCTCGAGGCAGGGAAAGGTCTTCAGGTGCTTCATGCCCTGGATAGTCACACTCTCTGGCAGAGCGAGCCATGTCAGCTTTGGCAGAGGCGCAAGATGGACTACTCCATCGTCCCTCACATTCAGCGAGGTACTAATATCCAGAGCTTCAAGGCTCGTCAGCTTCCCCACGTGCACCATGCCAGCTGACGAGACAATGAAAGGACAAGGACTTTAAGGGAACCAAGACTCGTCAGATGAGCCAGCCCTTTATCTGATACCCGTGTATCCCTCAGCTCAAGCCGACGGAGCGCTGTCAGGTTGCTGATTCCCATAGCCACAGGATCATCATAATTCAGTGATCCGAGTTTCAGCTCCTCCAGCCCTGTCATAGTGTAGAGGTGCCTCAAAGCTGTTACATGGCTACACTGGAACATATGAAGGTCTTTTAGGGATGTCAAGTAAGGAAGGTGATGAAGTCCAAGTTCAGTTACTACATCGTTGTGGCTTAGCTCCAATGCCGTCGTGTTCGCATGAGCACGCATGATCATCACATCTCCAGGAGTGGGTCGATGCTGCGAAGTCACAAAAATAGCCTGAAAGCATCACAACACCCTGAATTTAGCCACGGAAAACAGACAAATGCAAAACACTAACCTTCAACAGGTCAACCTCTCACCTCCCAGATCTTCCTCATCTCGTCCTTCTGCAGCACCATAGTTTTTTCTGCCTGTGACGATTGTGCTATCAATGCAGTCACAAAACTTTCCACGTCCTTCTTTGTAACCCTTGTTTCATCCTGAGCATTTGCAGCAGTTGTTGACTGACATGAAGCCCGATACAACGCCTGAAATCATTATCGACACATCAGGGAAAAGTCAGAGCTAGAACAATCACTAGGCTAGATAAAACATATTTGGTTCCAATGATACATTAAATTTCAACTTAGAATCTCACCTCCCAAATCCTGTACGTCTCTTCCTTCTGATCCGAAAGCAATCCTGTACGTCTCTTCCTTCTAATCCTGCGAAAGTCGCGCCGTCAGTGCAGCCACCTCCTTCTCCTTCTCCTCCCTCGCAGCCCTCTCAGCTGCTAACTCATTCTTGAGCTCGCTTATGTTGTTGACGTTCTCCTCCCTCGTTTCTTTCAGAAGTTTCTCCAGACTTTCCAGTCTATCAATCAGCATTGGGCTCTCCGTGACTTCCAAAGAGTTTCTCTGTCGCTGTTCCGCCTCCAATTCCCGCCTTGCATCATCAAATCGAACGGCAATCTTTGTCCCTACACTCATAATCTCTTCCAGAAGCCTTGCTGTCGCCGTCGTCATTGTGAACTCGGCTCGCTTGCTGGCAATAGGAAGAGCAGACGAGCTTAATGAGGAGAATGGTACGCAAAACGAAAACTTTCCACGAGGAAACTAGATTTCGACCGTACTTATTCTTTCTCGACGTTGGTGAAACTTTCCCCGAGAGAGGCGACCAAGCTGAGCATGCTTCTGCGAGAGCCAAAACAATTTGTATTTTCGCGATGTCTCGCCAAGTTCGTGATTTTCGCTCGTCGTTTGGCGTGAACAAGCCGTGGACAAGGCGTGGACAAGGCGTGAACGTGGCAGCGTGTTTCTCGCTACTCAAGTGAACATGTGCGTGGGACAAAGCCTTGTTATAATCGATGCATGTAGATCAATGCATGTTATAATCAAGTCAACATCTGAGTGGCACTACATAGATTGCACATTGAGACTGTATATCAAGGCTTTGATACAATCCATCCACAGATGCCTTGCGAGCAACCACCAATAATGTGAACATTGAGGAAATTTAGTTAGCAATTGATACACCTCAGAACAATACATTCTGGATCCACCTGAGCACAAAAAAGACACAACTAGCTGATACCGTAGAAGTGACTAGGCAGTGAATTCTGCAATTATATGCTGCTTCACCAACCACACCCGCGCAAACTTGTAATGCACAATCAACCCCCCCATCGCTCCCATCAGCAGTCTCTGCCGAACTGCTATCCAGAGGGCTGTAGGCTGCATGATCTTGAATCTTTTCTTGCTCCAGTATGATACCCCCCACCACCCCACTGCCTGCCACTCACTGCCCCAGCCGCCCCTATCCAGCTGCCCCCCACCAAGTGACCGATTGAAACAGTGTTGACATGAGGCAGCACGAACTCACATCACATCCCTTCCCTGATTCACCATTGCTCCCCACATTCCTCCATCCATCCCCCCATCCCTTCCCCCACCAGCACTAGGCCCCCCAGCTTCAGATATCCAGCCAAACCCCAGCAGAAAGCCTGAAAAGGGCATCAACGGTGGCTGGAGGGGCAAAGATCTCAAATCACATTCCCCCCCATGGCCCCTCCCATCCCATCCCATCACCCATCCCCCCATCACCAGTATCGCCACCCCCCCAGTTCAGCTATCCCCTCAACATCCCATCAACCCCTCCCACCCCTTCAACGGTGGCTGGAGGCAACCTGATCTCACATTCCCTCTTGCTTCACCATCCAACCTCCCATCTCTCCCATCGCCCCTCCCATACCCCCACTACCCGCACCACTCCCCCCAGCTTCAGCTATCCAGCCAGCCCCCAACAGAAGCCTGAAGATCATACCAGTGGTGGCTGGAGGGGGGAAAGTCTCACATCCCTTCCTGTTTCACCATCCCCCCTCCCATCCCCCCCCCCTTCCCCCCTCCCATCGCCCCTCCCATTCCCCCAGCAGCATTGTTGCCTCCAGCTTCAGCTATCCATCTAGCGCCCAGCAAGAGCCTGAAGATGGCATCAGTGGTGGCTGGAGGCAGGCGGAAGAGTCGGTGGACCGCTGCTCGTGAGATGGCCCCTCCTGAGAGGGCTGCTTGTTGCAAGATGACCTGATGGGATTGGTGGGAGGGGGAGGTGATAGGTGGAAAAAGACAGGGTGGGAGGGGGGGAAATGGTGCAAGGAGAAAGCCAGGGCTAGTGGAGACTTGAAGCAGGCCCTGAAACAAGCTCTAACAAGCTAACCTGGTTTGCCCCCCTGAGCCTACTGAATAAACTGGTCACTCACACACACACCTACAATACGAATCTCACCTGCTTGGAGAGGAAACAGTGTGCTGGCAGCAGTCGACTCCTGACGCCCGAATAGAGTTGACTTCAGAGTCGATTCAAAAGTCAGGTCGTGTGCTGGCAGCAGTCGACTCCTGACGCCCGAATAGAGTTGACTTCAGAGTCGATTCAAAAGTCAGGTCGTGTGCTGGCAGCAGTCGACTCCTGACGCCCGAATAGAGTTGACTTCAGAGTCGATTCAAAAGTCAGGTCGTGTGCTGGCAGCAGTCGACTCCTGACGCCCGAATAGAGTTGACTTCAGAGTCGATTCAAAAGTCAGGTCGTGTGCTGGCAGCAGTCGACTCCTGACGCCCGAATAGAGTTGACTTCAGAGTCGATTCAAAAGTCAGGTCGTGTGCTGGCAGCAGCCGACTCCTGACGCCCGAATAGAGTTGACTTCAGAGTCGATTCAAAAGTCAGGTCGTGTGCTGGCAGCAGTCGACTCCTGACGCCCGAATAGAGTTGTGAGGGCAAGCATCAAAGCTCGTCTCACCAAACCCACCTGCTTGCTGCTGATCTGTCCTGAGAAACTGGGAGAACCTCACCTGCTTGGCTCGGAGGTAGTGTGCTGGCAGCAGGCGCATGTGTGTGCACAGCTCACCCACTTGCATGCACACACACTAGGATACTTAGTCGCAGATAAAGCTAGTGGCCCGGCACACGGATCTCACCTGCTTGGCGCGGAGGTAGTGTGCTGGCAGCAGGCGCATGTGCGTGAACACAGGAGACGAACTTTGTCAGGAAAAACCATCCTGCAGCTCCTAAGCCACTCTACCAGTCTCACCTGCTTGGCCCAGAGGTAGTGTGCTGGCAGCAGGCGCATGTGTGTGCACAGCTCACGCTCCTGAGCGCATGGTAGTGTTTGGCGTTTTCCGTGCGGGTGGATGACGTTGTTTGTCATGATCCATAAGGGATGCACAACAGGAAGAACGGCAAGTGGACGCATGGGTTAGAGGGAGGAGAGAAGGGAGGTTGTGTGGAAGGGAAGAGGCTTGCTTCAATGCATGGACTGAAAAAGAAAGGAGGAGTCAACAGAAGAAAGATGAAACAATTTGGAGGCAGAGCGGAGCAGTCACAACAACACAGAGAGGCATGAAGGCAGCATGGAAAGGAGAATGGGAGGCATGTAGATGGTTAAAAGATACCCGACCTTGTGATCTCACCTTGGCAGATATCATCACAGCGCAATATGATTAGAGCGCAACCCGATTAGAGCGAAATAACATATTGGGAATGGACCTCTCACCTTGGGTGACAGCAGGTCGCATCCTGGGTGGGAGGAGATGTCAAGAGCTGCTGAAGCGCCTCCTGATGATGCTGTGCTGATGGCTGGTGGCGCAAGTGGCAAGGGAGGGAAGAGAGAGAGGGAAAAGTGGCAGATTGGAGAAGAAGAAGCGGGACACTGGAGCAGGGAAGACGGAGCATGTGGCGATGAGAAAATAAGATCTCTTGCTGATCGTGCTATGCCATTGGCTGTGAGTGCAATTGCAGCAGCAGCAACAGCAGCAGCAGCAGGGTTGTCCTTGTGGCACTGGCTGCGATACATGTGTTGGTGCTAGCTAGCTTTCACACACCTGTGACAGAGAGTGGGTACCACACCTGTGGCGGAGGGTGGAAGGCACGCGATGCCAGCAGCAGCATCAGCGGGGTTGTCCTTGTAGCACAGAGACACACATGTTCGTGTTAGCTAGCTTTCCCACACCTGTGGTGGAGAGATGGTAAACCCACCTGTGGCGGAGGGTGGAAGGCATGCAATAGCAGCAGCGGCAGCGGCAGGGTTGTCCTTGTAATGAGCCTGGATGAACCGACGACCCTCTGCCAGTGACTTGCACCCTGCTGCTCTGAGTTCCTGTCAGGGACGGGAGGGGCGGACGGAGAAGAACAGGCAACGCAGCAGCAGAAAGAACACCATCAGCAGAAGAAGCAACAGTGGCGGCAGCAGCCGCAGCAGCAGCAGCAGTGGGGTTGTAATGCGCCTGGATGAACCAACGACCCTCCGCCAGTGACTTGCACCCCGCTGCTCTTAACTCCGGGAAGGGGGGTGGATTGGAAGAGAATGGGTGGGGATGAAAGGGGACTGGAGAGAATGAAGGAAAGGAGAGGTGGGGAAGCGGAGCATTTCTCCTGTATTGGGGCATGTCAGAGGTGTTCTAACTGACAGCCCTCTGCCAGCGACTTGCACCCCGCTGCATTGAGTTCCTGTTGTCGGTGGGAGAGGATTAGAAGTGAGTACAATAGAAGCAGCAGGAGCGGCAGTATGGGAGGGTTATCCTTGTAGTGAGCCTAAATGAACCGACGGCCGGCCCTCAGCCAGCGAATTGGACCCAGCGAATCCCAAGGGCAATGAACCCTGCACACCGCACTCCCACCTCACCTGCAACACAGCTACCGTGTCCCGCAATCTTTGCGCCTGTGGCAATCTTTGCGCCTGTGGCAATCTTTGCGCCTGTGTCAAACTCTGCGCCTGTGGCAATCTTTGCGCCTGTGTCAAACTCTGCGCCTGTGGCAATCTTTGCGCCTGTGTCAAACTCTGCACCAGCCCCTCCCCTCATGCTCAAACAAAGTGCCCTCGTACTGAGAAACCCACACCCTCTCCGAGATGGCTCGAGGGGAACCAAAACCTTCACTACCCCCTCACCTGTAGCACGGCCACTCTGTCTCTAAGCCTCTGCGCTTGGGTCAAGCTCTGCACCAGCCCCTCGTGCTCTTCTGCACTGAGAAACCGAGCAAACACGCGGCACCGCAGAAACATCTCCCTCTCCTCCTTCGACCTTCTCCTCTCCCCGTCGCCTCCTCGCTTCCCTCCGCGTTTCCCTCCTCCTTCCCCCTTCTCCACCCCACCATCTCCCCCCTCTGCCCCCATCTCCCCCACAGCTTCCCCTTCCCTTTCCCCTCCCCTGTTCCCCCCCTCCGCCCCCTCCTCTCTCTTGCTTTCATCCGCCCTGTCCCTGTCCCTGTTCCTTCTGCTGCTGGTTTCGGGTCGAATCGTCCCATCCACTCTTCTCGGGTCCAGCAACCCACGTTCCAAAATAAAGGCCTTGCGCCGGGACCGCTCTTCCAGCCTGAAGGGGAGAGGGTGGGGGGAAAGGTGAAATTGGAGGAGGGGGAAGGGTTGTAGTGGAATTGTACTGTGTGAGAGACAACTCTTTTTGGGTCTAGAAGGCCACGCTCCAGGATGAAGGCCACGCTCCAGGATGAAGGCCTTGCGCCGTGACCGCTCTTCCAGCCTGGAAGGGGAGAGGGTGGGGGGAGTGGGGAGAGCCTGGAGCACATAAGGGGGGAAGGAAGAAGCTTCGTAGGTGATTGGTCCTCTTGGGTCCAGCAACCCACGCTCCAGAATGAAGGCCTTGCGCTGCTGAGACCGTTCTTCCAGCCTGAAGGGGAGAGGGAAGCGAGTGAGGAGAGGTTTGGAGGGAAGCGATTGTGCATCTTCTAGCCTAGCATTACACCTTGCTCCGTCCACTCTTCTCGGGTCTAGAAGGCCACGTTCCAGGATGAAGGACTTGCGCCGTGACCGCTCTTCCAGCCTGAAGCAGAAAGGGAGAAGGCGGCGGGAAGAGGGGAAGGGATAAGATGTTGGTAAGTGAGTGAAGGCGGTTCCTCTAACATTGCATTCCACTCTGTTCCATCCACTCTTCTCGGGTCAAGCAAACCCTGCTCCCCGATACAGGCCTTGCGCGGGGACCGCTCCTCCAGCCTGAAGCGGAGGAGAGGGGGGAAATACTTTGTCAGTGCCTCTCAAAACACATTTTTGAACAGACTCAAAAATGAAGCATCTTAATCTTCATCTGCCTGTCAACGCTCGAGTCCGACTCCTTCAACTCCAGCTCTGTCCACCACGGTGCCTCTCGTGTCCCTTGAGTCGACTAAGAATATAACCACATGTACCTGGATTGAATTCCTATCAATCAGTACAAACCGCACACACCTGGAGTAGTAAAGATGCAGCATCTTGATCTTGCGTTGTCTGTCGACGCTGGAGTCCGACTCCTTCAACTCCAGCTCTGCCTGCGGTGCCTCCAACCACATGCACTTTACGACACTGTTGCACACTGTAGCATCTACTATACAAACCACACGCACCGTGAGTAGTAGATGTGAAGCATCTTGACCTTGGCTGCCTATCCACGATCCAATCCGACTCCTTGAACTCCAGTTCTGCCAGCGGTGCCTCTGCCTGTTGAGATGACTCATCATAATGCAAGCCACACGCACCTGGAGTAGTATATGTGAAGCATCTTGATCTTGAGCTGTCTGTCCACGCTCGAGTCCGACTCTTTGAATTCCAGCTCAGCCAGCGGAGCCTCTGCCTCGTTGTCGTATTCCGGGTCAAACTCGTTGCGCTTCGTGTTGTACCCGCTCGTGATTGGTGTTGCTGCATCGTCTGTCTTGGTGCCTGGTTCGGGTCTGTGGTGGCGGGTGAGAGCCAACACAGGAGGAGAGAGAGACAAAGGGGATGCCTTTTGAGTTGATTCAAGAGCCGAGGTGGCTTGTGAGTTAATGCAGAAGCCGGTTTGCTACTGGCTCTGTCAGTGGTGCCTCTGCCTCGCTGTCACACTCCGGGTCAAACTCATTGCGCTTCGTGTTGTACCCGCTTGTGATTGGTGCTGCTGCGTCGTCTGTCTTGGTGCCAGGCTCTGGCCTGTAGAGGAGGAAATGAGGGCCGACACGACATGGAGGAGAGAGAAACAAAGGGGAGACCTTTCGAATTGATTCAAAAGCCAAGGTGACTTGTGAGTCAACGGAGAAGCCAATCGCTACTGACTGGGCTCTGCCAATGGTGCCTCGCCTCTGCCTCGCTGTCACACCCGGGGTCAAACTCGTTGCGCTTCGTGTTGTACCCGCTTGTTATCGGTGCCGCAGCATCGTCCGCCTTGCTTCCAGGCTCTGGCCTGTAGAGGAGCGGAGGAGGGGGAGGACGGGAAAGATGAGAGGCATACAGCGGAGCCTCTGCCTCGTTGTCATACTCGGGGTCAAACTCGTTGCGCTTTGAGTTGTACCTGCTTGTTATCGGCGCTGTGGCATCGTCATCCGTCTTTGTCTCAGACCTGTGTTGTCGGAGGACGGGGAGAGGAGGGGAGGAGGGGAGGAGGGAGGGGGAGGAGGGGAGGAGGGG